TGAATTAGGATAAAAATATCTTTTAGAAGTAAACAAAAACAAAATAAAAAAAGGGTCTTGAAAATGGACCAGCATTTGAAAATTGGAAGGAAATTATCTAATATCTTTTAAGACAATAAAAGTCATAAAATTTTGATTTAAATGTCTTTAAATGTAATTTTCTAATTAAATAGCTTTAAAGCATTTCATTTAGGATTCTTCCAAATTGGTCAACTCAGCAAATCATCTTGAAAATTTGGTAATTTTAGGAACCATTTTCAAAATATTAAAATGTGTAACTCACTAATAAATGAGCTGTAACTGTTAAATGGTATTTTTATAATTGCTAAGATTTTACTTTATCTAAATAGTTTTTGACACTGACATTTTCAACAGCCCCAAGAATAATAATAACCACAATTATTTTCCATGTGAAAAATGTTTTCATGCTAAACTATGATAAAAATAAAGATGGCTAATAAATTGGTGATGAAATATTATGAAAAAAATCATTAAACAAGAACATACTGGTGTAAATTTGTTTTCATAAATTATATAATTAATAACCACTGAGACATGAACTCTCTGCTACATCAACTGAACTGTGTATAATACATAAAATTTTCATATATTTAAAAACTATCCATCTCCAAAAGTTTTCATATCCTCTACTGTTAATAAAAATGCTTTAAATTTATCTGTTATACTAATTATTCTTATTTCTTCTATTTCCATTGCTTTGAGATATTTTCTGAGCAAAGTAATAAAAGGAACATAAAAAATATAAATCATTGTAACACAGACATTTGTGTTTTTCATTAAGATCAAAGTATAAGTCAGAAATAAAGAGCATAAGAAGAAAACATCAATACATGGAAGGTAAATTAAGAATTCAAAACCAAATTATTAATAAATATTTAAGCCTAATCAAGTAATGGTAGCTAAATTATAGACATTTTAAAATTACACTTTTCTCTCCAGAAAAAAAAATTCTTACATAAACAGTGAAATAAATGAAATACATTTATGTTAAGAATTCTTTATACCATAGTGATGGCAAAGAATTATAGATATATAACTGAAAAAGCAAAGAAAATATTATTATGCAAATGAGCTGAAGAGAGGAAAATAAAGAGAATGGATTCTGCACCCCACCCCCAACAAAATAAGATTTACTTTTTCTTATTAGGTAAGAAAATGACTTTGGAAATAAATACCAAAATTTATGTAAAGAAAAACTTACATGATAATAAACATCAATAAGTAGTTATTAAGGAACACTGCCCTTCTCCAAAAAGATCTAACTTTACCATGTGAGTCATCTAAACTATCATTAAATATTTAAGTTCTGTCAAAGTTTATAATATTTCAAAAGGTTATAAGAGACCTCTCCAGGTAATTTAAACATGTTATCCCACAATCTAACTGTGGATGCAATTTCTTTGAACTTATCAGTAATGATAAACTAAAAGAAATATTAATTATTAGCACTTACAAAATAATTGTACTCTCACTAACGAAATCACCTTAGTAGCAACCTAGACTTACAAATCTGTACTAACCATGTATGTATATTCTTAATTCAATTAAGAGACAAATCTCTGTGCTTTGCACTGGACTCTCAAGTAAGAAATTCCTACAAATGTATCCTATTTACAAACTAAATCATCATCAAGATTTTCCAATTTTAATTATCAAATATTTTAAGGAACAACTCAAAAACAATAAGCTGTAACAAAATTCAAAAACATAGTATCTATATATTCTTGTAAGTTTTTAAAACTATTATTAAATGCTATCAAGTTTCCATATTAACGTGTGTCAAAATACACATATTCATTACCAGTCCATAATCATATGATCATTTAAATCACAAGTTAATATTAGGAAGTCAAATGAAGACTGTCATTTTTAAACTACCAATGGTCACATAACATTCTCAAATAGCAGAATCTCACTGCATTTATCAAAAAGTCTAAAGATAAGAAAAGTACAGTACCTAAGTCATCTTTATTTTTGAGATGTTGGTGACACTACAGAGACTAGAAGAAAATGTGATTGTATTCTTGCCAACAAATTTTAAATAGAATTATGTTAACTATGAATGTACAGCTCTATTTTAAAACTACACATGCATGTATTCTCCTCATTTCATAGCAACTAAATTGTTCTTAATGTGCAATTCTTTGCAGTAGAGTTTTTTTTTGTTATTCCTGTTTATTTTTATGTATTTTATGTATTTATTATTGAAGTATATGTAGTCAATATTATTTAAAGAAAAAAAATTCCTGGGAGCCATGGCATGAACTTTGAAATATTATGTCAAACTAAATCATTTTTTTATTTCCCCAAATATATACAATTAAAAATGTTTTGTAATACTTAAAAAATACCTAGTGACACATGTATTTCTAAAGACTAAAAAAAAAACCCAAAACTATTCCATGTACTTAAAATAATGAGTAGATATTGGTCCAGCTGAACATTTAAAATTCCTAATTACCAACAATGATTATTCTTTCATAACAAAATAGTATATAGACATAATGGGGGAAAATCTAATTTTAATTATACATTAAACATAGTATGTGTTCCAAAATTCTCATACAGTAAAAATGGCAGTAAAATAGTAATTTAAAAAGTATTTTAAAAACTTTTGTTAAGTGGTCCTGAGCTGCAACCTGATTGTGTAAGTGATGCTGACATCATGCCTGCAGACATCATTTATAAACATCTAATTATTGCAATTGCTTGGCTAAAATCTGTAGGATTCCTGCCTTGTTCAAAACAATTATTCATATGATTTATATGTAATTTATGTGAGTCCCAATATAAGAGAAACTCCTCTACCAAGGCATCTAAATCAATAAGAAAAAAATAAAAAAGCAACTGAAATCTACATAATTTTCCCCTAGGAAAAAAGTGAGATATGTTTCAAAAAAACAAATACTGTAGCCATCAAAAAAACTCCTTGAAAAATCTTTTTCTAATTTTAATTTAAAGAGTATCACTGCTCTGGTTTTTTACATCACAAAAATTCTAATACTTAAGTTTTATCAACTTTTTTACATATTTCTTCCTAAAAATGTAAGAATACAAATATACAAATTTTATGAGAATTTTTCTCATACACCATTTTAATACTGTTTTATTAGTAAATATGTGATTTGTAACATAAGATTAAAGCAAGTTTAATATTAATAACCAATATCTGTACTCTAGAAACTCTTCACTATCTGTAAATAAAACTTTTCCAGCAATATAGTATTTCATAATTCAGTGGATACACTTGAGTTTGGCAACATATAACCATTAAACAGCTTAAATTTGGATTAATTGTGATTCTAAACATTAATGCTAGTTAATGAAATGTGTAATATTTGAATGTATTAAAAGGTAAACACAGGAAACCAAATTATAACAAGGTGTGATCAAAGAAGAAAAGGGCTATTCTTTTTCATTCATCTATAAAACAAATTTATGAGATTGTAAAGAACAATTTAACAACCTCAAGAAGGTTCAAAGTGGGGAAAGCCAGAGCCTGAGAGAAAATGGATTTGTCAATGATTTCAGTCATTCAGTATAGGGAGAAAAAAAAAGCAGAAAATGTAGGTTCATTTTGCAATATAAAGTAGGGGGCATAAAATCCAGTAGCCTGTCTATGGACTTCTATTTATATATTTAAACCTTGTTTCAATTCACAGATTATGCTGATCCTTCCACATGTAAACAGCCAATATTGATGGCAAGGCCCTTAGGAAAGGAAAACACACACCACACAGCAAGGTCAGGAAGCTACCAACCACCACAGGACAACAGATCAAAACAGAATGGTTTCATATGTTTCTATTGTTTATATACTTAATTTGAAGATGATATTCCTTGGGGAGTATAGGAGGTTGTAAATATTACCAGGAACATGCAACACAGTATCAAATAAAATATATACTTTTCATGCAAATATACTAAGTGTTTCCTGCATGTATCTGTCAGTCAACCTGTAGTATTGAGAGCATTTCATTCAATTTTTTAAACTTAAATGTCAAGCCAAAATAAACCTCTTTGGTCTTAAATCCCTTTACTCCTAAGAATTCCTTACAGAGAATTACCTTCTTTCAATGAAATAATCAAGCTCACAAATTGTAATTTTTTTCTTTTTACTAGATTAAGCAATAGAGGAGTGAAAATGGAAGAGGCATTAATTCACTTGTTTCCAGGTTAAAATTTTGAAAATGATAAGCAATGACATTCTGTTTGGTATTTAAGCATCTTACAAATTACAACATGATATAAGCAATGGTGGAAATTTATTCAAAGTAGCAGAGGAGAACATTTTAAACATACAAACTAGAGCCACAGCTGGCCACATGTTTTTTGAGTTCAGTTTCTTAAAGAGACAGTATCCTTGGACCCATGCCCTAAAAGGGAGCACATTTCCAAAATGCCTGATTACCAAACATCTTCTCTTGGCATTTCTTCAAACCCACAGTAGGCCAACAGTGTTCTATTTTATTTTACTATAAAATCAAATTATTTTTATTTGGCTCTACAAATGACTCTCCAGGAAGCAGAAACAAATAAATAGGGGAAGCTACTGCGACTGAAGATACCAAAAGTAAGGGGATCCAGACATTTCCTATAATAGCAATTTTTTTAAACTTAAAATGATTACTGTCTCTTCATTCATTTCCCCATTCGTTCACTCTGCCTAGGCGACGGACAGAGTATATTGTAACCGGTAACACCGGAAGCCACACTACAGCAGTTTCGCTGTCGAATGCAGAGGGGAACTTGCTAATAAAGTCAACCAGCACCATAGCAATGAAATTTCAAAGACATTTTCTGATTAGAAAAAGATACACAGTAAGGGGTCCGTACACATACCCTAAAAACCGGATTAACTCAGGATGGTAAGGAAGAGTTCCTTTTTCAGTGTATGTCCACTGACAAACCTACTGACCAACTCTGGCACATGGAAAAAAAGAGAAGGCGGAGGGGGGGGGTAAAGAAGTTTGGCTTACTTGGTGTACAAACACATCGACTGGAATTTCCAAGGGGCTTCCCTCTCGGTTTATCATGGAGATGAATCCAAATCCCATTCGCACATTGAACCACTTACAGTGGCCAGTTCCGTGCAGAACCTGGGATTCTTCCTCTGCCTGCTCTGGCAGCTTCCCGGGCTCTTCTCCACCACCTTTGCTTGCCCCGCCTGAGTAGAACAGGACAAAAAGAGTCAGTTAGTCTGGATTCCCAAACTGTTCACTGAAAGAGAGAGGGGGAAAAAAAAAAAACAAAACCTGATTGGGGCGTGGGGGTAAGAAATAGAAACTCAAAAAAAATGGTTGATTCCTTTTTTCTACAGAAAATATTTAAAAGGAAAGGGTTAAAAGGGGGAAGCGGGGGAGGCGGGAGCCACACTATTCTATCGATCACATCAACTTCCACTTTTCTGTACATACGTGTACTTTTTCATTTAACTCCATTTTCCAGCCACATATTACAGTACAGCGTCGATATTTTACTTGCATATTGCTGATTTAACACTGATCCCATTTACAAAGAGAAATTTTCAGCGAAACTATTCTCTCCTGAGGGCACGAGGAGGAAAGAGAAATCCTGAAGATGGTTAGAACTAGTTAGTGCACATGCGGCAGCAGCGAATCCAGGGTTATTTGCACTGTGCATTCCCCTCCCCCCCAATAACTTTCAATTAAAGTTGGGGTGGAATGGGGGAGGGGGCAGGTGTATAAAAGTTTTCTTGGGCTCACTAACTGAAACTGCGCTTAATCACACTCAAACAATTCAAACAATAGCCCACTGAAAGCTTTTCAAGTTGTGAATCAGTGTGGGCGGTACAAAACATTTTTGGAGATCTATAACAATAGGTTGCAGAAAGCCCCATTGCGCGATGGGGAGCGGGGGGTAAAGCCCAGTATTGGGGTAAAAGGGGAAGGGGGGGACGGGCAAAGAAGGGTGGGAAAGGGGGAGGGTGGAGAGAAAGGAAGAGAGAAAATCACAGTAAAACAATAGAAAAGAAAATTAACCTTCGGCCATGTTGCCCCACGGGCCCTCAGCTCCAAACTCGTGAGATGAAAAGTTTCCCTTTGGAACGGAGCGATCTTCTGCATCAATCTAACATCTTGATTTTGTGCGATCACAAATTTAGCTCGCATGGTCTAATGTGCTTTCCCTCTTTTGATTTTTTTCTCTTCTCTCTCCAGTTTCTGGCCCCCTGAGCCACGTGACTTTGTCAATTACATGCTTTCTTGCTACTAATTTCACCTCGGATCCTTAAGGGGCTGGCAAGAGGAAGAGATAACCAATCGCCATTTCATCTATGCTGACATCAAAATAATTTATGAATGAACATGAAAAACTCAAACATGTTATCTTAAAGAGAATTTGAGACGCTTCTTTACGATAAATCAGAATGCTGATTTCGTGCTTTTACTTAAACACAATGGAGGGTTCCTATGAATCGTCGATTTAGAAAAACGGCAGTCATATATGTGCACACGCGTGCCTTACACACAAGCCTGTCTAAATAATCTCATTTAGGGGGAAAAAGCCATTTAAATAAAGCAACCGATGTTACGCTTTTTTTCCCCCCTAAGAAGTCAGCTGCTCCATAGTAGTAAACCTGCCCGGAGTGCAAATTTCATATTTAATTCAATTCTTAGAGGAAAATATATAATTTACAAACGATCTAATTAAACCTAATTACATCTCCACGAAACTTTGGATAATAGTAACATACACATACAATAAGACGAAAGCGTACAATTACCTGATCGTGCCCAGAAATTTTTTTCAAATTTAAAATAAGACCCTACCGGAAAAATCGCTAGCACCTTCACGTACTCAAATTACGTTTAGGTTTATCATTTCTGAACATTTTGAAGGGGGAATTGTACTTCACAGGTTTCTCCGCCATCTCTTTCCGGGGGAGGAGATGTGATTAATGACTTCCTAAATAACAGACCAGTTTTCCAGCCTAACATAGAGTGAACCTCAATCAGCGGCGATTGTTCCCCAAGAGCAAGACGACGTAGGGCAGGGAGGGGGAGGGGAGCGCCAGGCAGGGGAGGTGAAGAGGAGCCGCCAGCACAGGCGGCTGCAGAGCCAGAGAATGAGGTGGGGGAGGGAAAAAAAAAAAAAAAAAAAAGCGGTGGCAGGCGGGGGGAGGGGAAAGGAAAGAGGACAAGTGGGAGAAAAAAGGTAAATTCATATATTGATTGGACCCTGACATTTAAAAAGTCCACTACCAATGGACAGACGAGTCAAATAAACGAAAATGTAATAACGGATTAGGCTCCTACTGTCTCTTCTCTGGCCTGGCCCCAGTTTCAAAATGCTTATCCTTTAACTTTCAAATTGATTCAAACGATCGTTTATTACTAGATGCTGACTCCAATATTACCGCCCTCTTCGAATACAATAAATATTATGGGTCAACTAGAAATGCTTTACTTCCTTTAAAATATAAAATACAACCTGTTTTTGAAACCTTAAAAGCCCCACCACTCTTTCCCCTACCATACCCCCCATTTTCTTAAACAAGCAGTTTACGGAGAAACTGTACAGATACCACTTCCCTTGGGCAAAGCTACTGAGTTGACCCTCCCCCACCTTACCCGCAATCCCCCTCCCGGCGCTTCAAACAGGACTACACTCCGAACTCCAGCCACTGTTTCTCACAAACTAAAATGTGGGCATTCTGAATCTAAAAGCATTTGAAAACCCACAGAATGCACCTATTTACACCTCGTCCCCATATTAAATAACTAAATATAAATTCATACTAATTGGTTCAGAACTGAAATAAATGGGTGTATCTAAATAGTTTTTTTCAGCCTTTTTTGGTAAAAGGCATCAATCAAGACTGATCAATTTGGAAAGATTTTTCGTGTTTATTTCTTTTGTTGCTTCCCAGAAAAGGAGATAAAGCTTTCTCATTTTATTTACTTTGGGGAGAATAACCATGTTCTAGCTGGTAGGGAGGGAAGCAAAAATGTAAAAATCCAAATGATTTTGCAAGAGTAACAAAAGTGCTCAAAAAAATTATTTGCTAACAAAACATTTTTAGGCATTAATTACGCTGACCTATAATGAAGTAACTTTAACGATGGCATTTCAGTTTAAACATCTTACATAATATTGAAATATAAAAAACTAATTTAAAATAAGTTATTTGTTTTTTATATCTTAAATGAGAGAATTGCTTTTTAAAATCAACATATGATAAAAAATTAACATCTGAAAAAAATCAACATCTGGAAACAGAGAAAAACAATCTGAAAAAGTATTCATGGAAATTAAGGGTAAGTGCCATTATTTATTAAAGTAATTATCATAAAATTCATAGACCAGTATAGTCTAGTGTTGTCACCAACACACATTTATGGTAAACAATATTTTATCTGTAAGTTTATTTTTAATTAGAAGATAGTTTAATCATCATAAAAATCAGAAACCATATATAGGTGGATTCTGAAACCCTTGCTAATTGTTAAATTTGATGAGATTCAAACCTATCGATCTATATATGAAAACTGTGAAATACCATAACTGAACCACATTGAATGGTATGGTTATGAGAATCAGAGCCTCGCCTGATTGGGGGCCTCCAGTATTAGTGGAATTAAGGTAGGGTTCACTGGACTGGTCACTGGTGTCAAAGGTTATCGACTCATTCATTTCCTGAGAGGGACATCAGCCTTTCAAGTTGTGTAGAAGGCTTTTTCCAACTGGGAACTCTGAGAAATCCTCTAACATTCATTCACAAAGAATTTAAGCCAAATACGTGTACATACCTGGGGGATGGGGAGGAAAGACAGAGGGAGAGAAGAGAAGAGAAAGAGTAAAAGAGGAGGAGGGGAGCAAATTGGGAAGGGAGTGAAGGAAGGAGACACAGTGAGACAGAAAATATCACTATTTCAGGGATATGGCATTGTCGTTCAAATAGATTCATCTTTTCTGCTTAAAATCCTTTTATAAAACTAACCATAATCTCTTTAAGCTCTAAAAGTGCTTCTTTCACAGAAAATAGTCCTATGAATCTCCTAGAATGCTTTCCAATTTGTCACCTTCCTGAAGTCTTCTGGTTTTAATTTTTTTCTCATTTCCTACTTGTTTTTAGTGCCAGAAAGACCTGTGTTTGACTCAAAACGCATGTTTTGTGAAAGCCAAATCTTTTAGTAGCTTGATTTATCATAGTTCTTTCAAAATGTTTCAAAAATGAGTTCAAGTAGTGACAAAGAATCATCAACACACTGGGGAGAAAAATTAAGGAATTAACCTATCATATGCCTGTTCGTCATCACAATCTAAGATTTCTTCATTTAAAAAAATGAGGTACATATTTTATTGGCTGTTTTCTTTCTTTCCTTTTTTTTTTTTCCCCTCCAAAAACTCCAAGAGTACAATGCAAGGAGCCTAAAGAGGTGCCAGAGCCACCAAAGTTGCTGTCAACTATAAGCAATGAGTGACTTCTATTCCAGCAGAAACAATGCTTTGGTTCTTCTTAAAACTAGGAGGAGGGGCCGTGGCACTGCGGCGAGCGACTCCACCAGCGCTCTCCTCCCGGCAAATAAGGCTGGGGTCTGCAGCCCCAGCGCTGCCTTCGCAGCCGCGAATCTTCCCGCGCAGCTTGCGCCCCAGGGTCGCCAAGACCCCCAGGCCAGCGGATCCGCCCTTTCCCTCCACCTCCCGCCCCAGCAACTTCCTGTCCCCTTTCTCTCCCCAGTCACCTTTCCCTTTATTCATCACATCCCCACCTCCTCTCCAGAAGTCAAACCCTTCCAAAGAGAATGGTGATTTCTCACTAATAAGGGCTTTTAAATTTGTCATTTTTGTCCCCAAGAACACTAAACAAAAGAAACCCATGCCTTCACTATTATGAAGGCAACACTTGGCACAATCTTCTTTTACTGCATATGTATGGCACTTATAATTTGGTCCCTTTATCTGTGAGATGTCAGACTGTCTGCTATCTAGGAGAAGTGAAGTCAAAGGGGAGCGCAATCAGAACCCGAGATTGACCACCACCCCCACCCCCACTCCCCCATCAAGTCAAACCTAAAATGGAGCTGTCTTCAGACAGAACTCTGGCGCCGTCCTTTCGGGAAGCCGGGAAAATGTGGCAATGCGCCTTTGGAAACCAGGAAAAGACTTATGCAGGGAAGGGGGTGGGGGGCAGCTAGGGACCATTTTAGGGAACCAACGCTGGAGCCCGGAGTGAGGTTTCCCTGCCAAAAGCTGCGCACCCACACGACGTGCAAACTGTTCCCGATCCCTCCCACTCACTGCGTATCAGTAAACTACTCGCAAATTACTTTTCTTGAAATTGTTACAATACGGAGTCAAATGAAAGAGTACTTGCCTGGGTGCACTGGTCTTACAGTAGAGGCACTTCAGAATTGGGGGAGGGGGATAATTTTGTTTTTGTTTCCAAAAAGCAAAATTCCATCCTCATTTAATTTCCTTACCTGGAAGCAAAATGCTCTGGCTTAAATACAATTGTTCCAATTTGAGGATTTTTTGATAATTTTTAGACAGCTGTAAAAATCTCTTAATTTTTTTCCTTAAATATCTTTACACATTTCCCCAGGTATAATCAAATTACAGAAAAACAGGAATTGATTAGCATAAAGCTGAAGTTTTCCAGATAAATTGCCTTCAAATTTCAAAAGCAAACAACTTTCTTCTTTCCTTTTTGATCAGTTATCTTTCAGCAAAATATTTAAAGCAACACAATTAATTCAGAAAAGGAGGATTATTTTAAGACCACCATTTTGTAGAAACTTTCTTTTTAAAAAAACTGGAATAGAAAAAAATCCTATTCTATTAATATACTTCTCCCCCAATGAAAAGGAGAAATATAAATTTTGTTATTATTCCTCCCAAATATTTTCTGAATTGTTCTTAAAACTTCCTTAAATGATTTTAATTGGAACAGAAATAGGTTTGAAAGATCATTTGGTGATAAGCATTACATTACTTTGCCCAAAATAGCACAAAAAGAAGCTTCATGTTTTATTTGAAAAAATGAGTTA